GTGCCCTGGTGTCAAACGGTGACGTGAACGTTTGCGCGACTGGCTTGAAATCCCAAGAACTTGTTCGGTTCCTATTGACGCCAAAACATCAACTTTGAACGTGAAGTGTAAATAGGGCGCCTCTGACGTATAGAGGAGGAGGAGGAGGAGGTCGATCCCAATTAGATGGAATGTAGTGTTGGTGTTAGGTCAAAGGTAGTTATATTCGGCTGCTGTTAGACATTGGTTAAGGCTACGCCAATTTTGCCTGTCTCTCAGTATCACCTGCCATCCCAAGCTCGGACAAGACACTGGCTTACTAACAGAATGATTTGAAGTCCCGGCAGCTCGGAGCGCTTGGCCAAAATCCACTGAATCTCGATCCCGTGACCTGATCAGAGCGGCAGACACGGCACATGCTCACAACACAACCAAGCGTACATCACAGAGCATCGAATCTGGGGACAAAGGGCACATGGCAACAACAGCTTGAGCATCCATACCCGAGCTGCCAAAGTCCATGGAATGGGATTTCCGCTTGGTAAATGAAATGAGTTTTGGGCATTTTTCGACGACCCCTCTGCGAATGAAATTCTGGAGCTGTGGAAATTCATGTTCATCGCGTGGTGGCGCGACCGTGCACCGCTACATACTTACAAGTGTACACCATGATTTGCGACAACCAGAGAGCTAGGTACTGTAGGTCTGTAGCTGAGGTGCCTCCCTGGGAGAGTTGACGGATGTGGATCCACACCGCATCAGGTCGCCCGGGTTGCGTTTAATTACTGCATCCACCAGTTGCTCCGCCCGTCCTCATCAACAACCCACGGGTTCGCTCTCGCTTGTGCTTCAAGCGAGCCGTGAATAGTCACAAAACACAACGAGGCATTTTTCAAGCGCTACACTAGAGCTACAATTCCACAAAGAGTGACTCTCGGTAACAGATCCTCCTCATCCCTGTTCAACTCGGTAGACCTTTGTGGAGGTTTGCGTACCTTGTGTGCATGCACGTGTAGTGTTTCTCGTTGCTCATCGCCATCAAAAGCGGTGATTTCTCAGTCAGCAGCTTCTCAGTCGGCCGAACCGAGAACCTTGAGAGCCACCACCAAAGCTAACGGGAAGCGAACCCGTGCACGACTCCCAGAAGTCGGTCTGACCCTTGACCTGTGGAGGAAGTGTGGGCCTTGGAAGGAAAAGAAGCAAAAGAGAAGGGAAGGGCCGGGCGAATCAGAGGACTGGCCCAAACGACACGAACCGCAGAGCGTTCTGTGCGCAGATCCGCAGAAAGAGCCCCGGGGACTGTAACCCGGCCGACTAACCGACCCCGACCTCCTCCCCGACCGACAACGACGCGGGATTTGCGCAGTTGCAGTGTAGTGTAGCAACTGGGAGAGCGACACTGCAGGCCATCTCATGAACTGCATGTCAACAGGTCGGTGAGTGGATGACCCCCTCGAGGACCCCCCCCCTGGCAAGCCACCCTCTGAGTGGTTCAACTGGACTAGTTGAAGCCTGACAGTGGAGATAGATAATCAAGACTTGTGGTTGGTGAGCGAGGGCGCCTTGAGCCGGTTTGGGAAGGTGCTGTGGCTTTGGAGGTTGGCTCTGTGGTTCCTTGGTGTGCTGCGCATGCTGTTGAGACCGTGTGGTGTTTGCTGGATGTGCGAAGCATTCGACCGACTCTGACTTTCGTCTGGGAAGAGGTTCGTAGGCGGCTGGTAGGTTCCGGAGTCAAGGACCCAAACTCATTTGAGTTGGTGGGGTGCGATAAACCCCTGTTTCTGGAAGCTCTCCCACTCTGCCCGTTCCTGAATATCCGTTGGTGAATCCATCTTCTGTAGCCCTGGCAGTTCGCGGTCGCCGCTCGGTCGACAGATCCCCTATCATGAGATTTTGACTTGTCCCGACTCAGATAAGAGCAAGGCGGAAATAGAGAGACCCGAGCTCCCGGATACCAGGGAAACGATACACTTCATATAACCCATTGAGGCTGTGAAGCAACAAGTCAATCAATCAAAAGGGGGGGAGCATCTGAATTGCGGACTCCGGTAGCTCCTCTTGCTCGCGGACCGCTTGTTTCGCTGCCGTCCTTTGAACATGTGAGGAAGAGAACCTGTACCCTATGCAAGTCACTTGCCACTATACATACCGTAGTTTCGAGGTCAAAGCCTACCAAGTAGCAACTGGGAGTTGCATCGTCGATGCAGTCTTTTACATTTCAAGCTGGAAGTCCGCCACTTATAGATCGCTCTCGAGTTTCTCCGGCCGTTTACGATCCACGGGTTTCTGTATTGTTTTTGGTGGTGTTGGTCACCGCTCCTCAAGCATCCCATGCTCACCTTTTGCCCCTCGGCGCCGCGGAACAGTACCGGGCGGGATTCGGTTAGAAGAGCACCAACGGGGTTGCTGAGGACTTGCCGGTCTGCTCCAGTGTAGGTGAGTTCAGTTCCCACTTCTCGCAGCGGTGGTTGCGCGCTATCATGGACGCTACTGAGCGTCTGGGCCATGGAATGGAACCACGGACCAGCAGAAAGCCCGGTAGTATGGTCCGGGTTGCTGGTGCTTTTGTCTTTGGGTTGAAAATTATGTGAGAGCTTGAGTGGTTTGGAGGAACCAATATGGCTGAAGCATGTTTGCCGGCCGAGCCATTAAAAGAGTGGACTCTGGCTGAAGAGGGAAAGGGGACCAGTGATCACAAACCAACATGTGCTCTGTGCGTCCTGAATCCCCACCATAGATCGCTGTCATGGTTGCCATGATTGTTTGTTGTTTATGATGTCTTTTTTATTTTTGCCGTGAGAATTCATGTTGGGTGAAACGTGATAAGGAATACTGAAACACTATAACCAATGCCTGCACACCTGGGCCTACATGGACGACGGTGATGCCGGGTGCAACTCCCACTGCGATCCATGGCCTCGTCCTGCAAAATGGGACATGGATAGGCATGATATGATGGTTGCCCGTTGGTCAGGCCAGATAGCGTGGTCTGAGCAGTGTTCTGATTGATATGTGAGCTCTCAGGTTCCAGGCCTCGGGGTGTGAGAGTCGGTGTCTCTTCTCCAAACCGTAGACCCGCATTCCGTCCGGGCGGCGACGGCCCGGAAGCCAGAACCAACAAGCGGCCGGAACGCCGTCAAGATCATGTAGTATTGATTGGCCGGTGGTTCGACCAGACTCGCAGAGTTTTCTACGGTCTGCAAGCAGTGTGCAGCTGGTGCAGCAGCGAGCTCGAAGGCGGTCTGAAGGCGGTCAAGGTCTTTTGTTAAGAGTTTGGCTTGTGCGGCCCGCCCACGGCTAACACTTGAGCGTGCGTCTCCACTCTTCCCAACCTAATGCAGCTTGGGGAAGAGGGTCCAGTCCATCTCTCCTCTCCTCTCCCCGCCCCACAGCCGCCTGCCTCAGAGCGAGAACCACGCACGCAGACAGGTGGGTTGACGGGTGCTTTGGTGCGGTGACTGGCAGCACGACGCTGCAGCTTCATTACTGGCAGCACAGAAGGGCTTTGGAAATGAGGAATGAGGCTGAATCAATCAATCAGAAGCCGGCCTTGGTCAGTGGGCGACCCCATTGAGCGGCGCCGTCCAAGCCGTCCACTTTCTAGTCGGATGTCCTGCATGGGCTGCGAGTTGCGCGCTGCAGTTCATCGTTAGCTCTAGTGTAGTTAGTGTACGTACTACCTACCTAGCTAACTAAGTTATGTACATGGAGATGTGCGGCATACACCATGGTGAGATTCCACCTTGGGCTCAATTGGAAAAGGAGCCAGAATAGATGGATGGCAATCTCGTCACTTGAGCGCGCAGATCTCCTTTGGCCTTTTCAGCCCGTGCGGCGAGAGTCGAAGCCACTGCAGTGCACAAGTTCAGTTGCGCAGGCGAAATGAAATTGCAGAGCGAGACCGACAGAAAACTGGGTTTTCTCTGGGCATTGCCATTGGAACTCGGGCTGTGGCTTGCATAAACTCTTCATTTTACTTATTCAAGCACCTCTCCGATCCGCCCGCTACTACCACTCTGCCCACACACAGAGTACATCTTGACGGTATCGACCATCTGATCTTTCTCGTGCGGTGATACTGTACACTACACACGACACAAAGTCTGAGCAGCCCTAGCTCTTGGTCACCGATCCCCCTCCTCGCCATCCAAAGTGGAATTGGTCGAAGAGTTACCCCTCCTCCGCCTTTTCCATCGAGCGTCTGGTGCTGCATCTCATACCACAGATACCACCTTCGAAAAGGCGGAAGCGGTCTTCCTCGTCTGTTCCTTTCTCGCTAACCACTCGCTACTGCTGCGTCTGCGGAGTCCCGATGCATCCAAACTGGCGGTCTCGTCTCCCGCCCCGTCGTGAATGCTAGTGCCTGGTTAAGGACCAGGACTGCTTACTGCGGGCTTTGCTTAACTGGAATTTATCAGACGCTCCCCCCCCCCCCCCCCCCCCCCCCCGCTCGCGGCTCCCCTGACGCGCGCCTGACAAGGGACCAGGGCGGCGGGCAATAACTTGCGCTTCGAACCTTTCCGCTTTCACTCTCTTTCCACTCGCTTTCCACCAGACAGGGCCCGGGGAGAACAAACCCGACAGGGACTCTGGTTTTTTGCACCAGACAAGGGAAGGGCACTTGTCGAAGGGGGTGCTGCTTCCAGAGCGGACTTCCAAAGCGGACTAGGTTCTGTCCACCGCGTCCACCGCACCGCTGGGGACGCTCACTGGGTCCCAAATTGCAAGTGGTCCCAAACAAGGGCCAATTTCTCGTTTATATTTCCATCGCCGCCGGTCCCCCCCCCCCCTCCAAGACGCCATCGTCGTCGGAAGCTACGGTGGTTGGACAGGAACTTCGGTGGCCGGTTGCGATCTTATCTTCCCCTCCTACCCTTCATCAAAGGTTCCTTCGATCCCAAGTTTCTTTCAATATCATCCCAACTTTTATAATACCCACCCTGCCCCGCGCCGGCTTCCGCGGCTAGTCCCCCTCAGGATCCCTCAACTTGGAATCTTCCAGGTTATCCCACTCTGTAACCATGACGTCCTTCTCCCTCACGGGCGCCGCCCCCAACAAACTCACAAAGACCCGAGGCGCGAAGGTGGTCAAGCCAATTCTGAAAAAGCTGTCGTCTTCGCCAAAGAACTCGCTGGATTTGAACCGTGGATGGGATGAGCAGCCGGTGGATCAACTCGACATCGACAACGGAAACAACAGGAATAGCGTCAACTACAGGTCCGCAAAGGATGTCGGCTTTGGGTACGCTGGAGGTGTTGTAGCCGCAAAGGCAGACGAGGACAGCGTTGCCGACCTGGGTGCTACTGGAAACAGCGTTCGTGTCAAGTACCAGCACGCTCGCTCTGCTTCGCAAACATCGTCTGGCAGTGGCTCCCGAGCTTTCTGCCATCCGTTCCAGCAGACGCCGCGTACAGCTACCCCGCCGCTGTCGTATGCCCCTTCACTCGCCTCTTTCGATAACGGTCGTTACTCGCCTACCATTGCAGAGACAGAAGACGAGACGGCCACTGATTCACAGCAAGCGCAGCCGCAACCAACAAGTCACCCTATGCAGTCGCCTCCTCCTCCTCCTCCCGTCAGGTCCAACACCACCAACATTCTGCGCCAAAGGCCATCCATCGCCAGCTCTCGCGCCAATTCCTACTCGGACGCCAACTCTGCCTCAAAGGCCCTCCGCATCAACACTGGCCGATCAACCCCCACGGCCATCTCTTCCCACCCTGACGCACATGGCGTTGTTACTACCAGCCGCTCAGACGACCAGCTTGGCCAGAACGACTCCCCTACTGGCACTGTGGGCGGTGCTGCTTCCTCCACCCAGCAGCAGTCCACGGTTGTGTCTCCGACATCCTCGACTGGCACCCCAATGTCTCCCCTGCGCACCTCGCTCGATCTCACCTCGGGCTTCCCTCGCCTGCGCAGCCGTTCCACTGAGATCGACTCTGCTGCCCGTCTTGAGAAGATCCGCAATGCGCGCCGCAAGTTTGAGGAGAAGGAGAGGGCCAACCAGGAAAAATATGATCGTGAACTGATCAAGAAGCGCGAGCGCAAGGACACCAAGGAAGCGAGCCGCATCGAAAAGGAGTCTGCGAGAAAGAGCAGCCTCAGCGATCTTCCAAGGCCCTCCATGACCCGCAAGGCCACCGCAACTAGTATCGCAACGATTACCGGCCCTACCAGAACCGCTTCGGGATTCAGCTTCACCAAGCACGGCAGCGGCGGTTCTTCCAAGACGAGTCGCTCCAAGGGCGATGTCACTGCTTCCTCATTCTGGGATCGGTCTTCCACTATCGGCCCGGCTACCAACCCTACGAGCGGCGACAATTCGCAACCCGAAATGTCTGAGAAGCATGGTCTTGGCTTCGCCAGCCGCAAGTACGAAAGCGTACCGGCTGACCAGGCTGCTCCCCCGGCTTTCATCGCCAACCCCGTGGATCATGTCAAGTTCGAGCAGACTCGCCGCCGGTCTAGCGGACCCAAGAGGAAGACCCAGAACTACTGGCAAGAGTTTATCCTTTGGTTGAGGACCAAGATTCTTCGATTGAGTGGTCGCTAAATAAGGACCCGACTGATTTACCCTACCCTCCCAACAACGAAACCTATTCACAAACATCGATTTGAATGGACCCAGCGCCTCATGATGGGCGCCATCAGTCGTGCACGAGTCACGAAAATCATCAACACTCAGCATCACATTAAGCGATCCTTTTTTTCGTTCGTCAACATACACTGGGCTGGCAACTTCTTTTCTGCACAAGAAGGCGTAGCGGGCGTTATTTGTTTTCATCAGCATGCATCAACGGGTCTTAGTGCCCTAGCCCTTCCCGCTTGGACAGGGAAGTGAGCAGCGACAGGCGTTTTGGTAATTTTTTTTTTACACATGCACTGGAGTTTTTTCTCGCATCCGGTGGCGGTTTTTTTTATTTTTTTTTAAACTTTTCTTACACTCATTATGATGAAGGCCCTCGATGGAGCGCCTGTTATGACACTGGATAGGGCATAGAACGGATCTTGCATTGGACGGCGAATATGGACTGGATCGTACTGCACAGCAGGACGTCTCAGAGTTTGATTTCAACGCATATTTAGTTAGAGCATTGCGATAGGGTATTGAGCATCAGCTGCTCCTCAGATAGTCTAGATCCTCAGCTCTCAGAGCTGGATACTTTTCAAGTATCGACTGGCACTCAGTCAAAGGACAGACACACTCAAACAATACAGTAAAAGTTAGACATACATACTATTGTTTCTTGCCAACGGTGATCTCAGTGTGTATGATCAAGATATCGTCTAGAAGTAGGGGCTGGGAGGATAACCAAAACCCATTCCTTGGTTCTAGGTTTGGGGTTGTAAGTGGATGAAGTACGGATGGAGAGTCGCATTGCTTTGTGGTTAAGCGCTATCGATTGCTTGTAGGTTGTAACGGCTGCGCAGTCCGTTACATTGATTGATCTTACGGCGGGATACCACCACTCGATTTGAGAGCCTCTCCTACGATGCAGGATCAATGTTCACTCGCTTCCTGGTACCTCGCGTCATCGAATTCAGTCTTGAACCGAGTCGAATACAAGAAGCTACGACTATTAGACGGCCTATTATGGATATACAGAGGAGATAGGCACAGATATCGAGACCGAAGTATCGAAACCCGTTGGAATATCTCGTCAATATCGAAGTAACTTTGAATAGCCTTCTGTTTACTTGGTCGGTCCGAATCAAATGCTTTGCGTCCCTCTAACCACTAATAACAGATACAACCTAAAAGCGAGCCGCGGGCCTATTGCCTGCTTGGATTTATAGCCTCGGCATCGCCCCAATGCGGCAGCAACGTTCGTTGTTCACAAGGGGAAGCTACCACCTCACTCAATGGTATGTCAAATTATCTCCTAACAGGTGCCAAGTATTCTGGAACTTTGGAGTAGCGTTATCTCCACCATACGCAGGTGACTTTATGTTTATCGCAACCTCTCCACTGTTAGCATCTGGTAGCTGCACCTCAGCAAATTTGAACTGTGTACAAACCAATCGTGTCACGAAGCCTCCCTCAATGGACGAAAATATGGGCCCGCCGTTGGTAGTATCGACAAAGCTGACAACGGTACTTGTAAGACTTTGTGACCGAGACATCTTTTTTTTTTTTTTTTTTTTTTACTTGGGTTGGGGAAGGTGATTCTAAATCTTTTACCCCTATCTCGATTACTGAATACACAGACACCTGGACTTGTTGATCGATGACGACGTGAACGAGACAGGTTCATCCCATCTCAGTTCCTAGTTCAGTATCGTTGCCCCGTGCAGACACGACCACCCACCAGCGCCCTTCCAAACTCCAAGCAGCGCCAATCATAGTGACCATCTCGAATCTCACGATGGCTTCAATTAAGAAATTTCTTAATCACCCGGGAGCCAAGGAGGCTCCGGCTCATGCCTTGGAGTTCCAGCCGGAGGTGGACCACAATCCTCCCATGCGCGGACTGTCGTTGGTAGCTGCCTCGATGCTGTCAGTACTTCTTTCGTGGATGGTCTCGGACGCAAGCATGTGCTCACTAACACATCAACTCATTCCCCAGCATTTCCAACTCGCAATGGCTTCAAAAGTTCATGTGGAGTAATGCCAAATTCGGCCAGGCCAAGTATATGTTGGAACTGAATGGTGAACAATGGAGGGCGCAAGTGAGTTTCTGACCGCTTCACCTTTCTTAATCTCCCTCGTCGCTCTTGTGTCTCAAGTATCAAGGCTAACGCAGTCACAAAGCCCAACGTCATCCCCATATCTTCTTCTTCTTCTTCTTCCTCAATCTCCACCCAGCCAATCCTACCCTTCGACCTCTCCCTAACCACCCCTCAACCCCCCACCGTCCCGGGCCGCTTCACCTCCATAGCCGACTACCACGCCGCCTACGCCTCTGGGCAGCTCACACCGCTACAGGTCATCGACGCGCTCCTCCCTTTGATCCGGCGCGACATCAAGCCCAAGCAGCAGCAGTCCAAGTACGCCGTGGCCTTCATCCAGTCCAAAGTGGACGAGGTGTTGGCCGAGGCCAAGGCCTCGACGGAGCGTTGGCAAGCCGGCAGGCCGTTGGGCATCTTAGATGGCGTGCCGTTTGGTGTGAAAGATGATACCGAGGTGGAGGGATATGTGTCGACCATGGGCATGAAGGTTGATGAGAGGTTTGAGTATTTCAAGAAGCCAGCGACGGAGACGGTGTGGCCGGCGAAGAAGTTGAGAGAGGCCGGGGCGATCATGGTGGGGAAGATGAATCAGCATGAGATTGGAATGGGTGAGTGCATGAGTGGACTCGCTTGTTTGAAGTGAAGAGCGAGAAAAAGAAGGGTTAGAAGTGCTGATGATAACGACGCAGACACGACGGGTTGCAACCCTGCTACGGGAACGGCTACGAACTGGTACAACACCCAGTACTTCCCTGGAGGCTCGTCATCTGGTGCTGGATCTGCCCTGAGCGCCGGTCTTCTGCCCATCGCTATTGGTACTGATGCCGGTAAGTTGGCCATTTCTACTGCCTTGGCTCTATTACATCAAAAAGCACCCGAACTCACCAACTCAACCCAAACACAGGCGGCAGCATGCGCATCCCGCCAGCCTTCTGCGGCGTCTACGGCCTCAAGCCCACCCACAACCGGGTCGTCAGCCGCAACTCATCCATGTGCGTCGTTGGCCCCATGTGCTCTAACCCATCCGACCTGACCATTGCCTACCGGATCATGGCCCAACCCAACCCGTCGGACCCAGCGCAATCCTCTCTCGCCCCGTCCATCCCCCCCTCGCCCACGGCCAAGAGATACCTCGGCCTCTGCCCCGAATGGATCGCCCTCGCCGACGCGGACGTGCGCACCACTTTCAATCGCGCCATCGAGACGCTCTGCAGCAGCTCTTCCTTGGGCGGCTACGAGCTCGTAACCATCAAGCTGCCCTACCTGCGCGAGGGCCAGCTCGCCCACGCCGCAACCTGCCTGACCGAGGCGGCGGCCGACGCCCGCAACCGCGTCGCCAACCCGGACGACTACCTCAAGCCCCTCAACTACCCGAACCGCATCATGGTGTCGATGGGCGCGCAGACCCCCGCTGCCGACTACCTCCGCTATAACCAGCTGCGCCATGTCATTATGCAGCACCTTGCCCATCTGTACGAGCAGTACCCCGGTCTGCTAATCGTGACGCCGACCACGGCCATGGCTGGGTGGCCGATTATGCCGGGTGATAATGCGTATGGGTGCAGTGATGGGAATAGGAGCATTAGAAATATGACGTATGTGTGGTATGCGAATACGAGTGGATGCCCGGCAGTGACGTGCCCCGGAGGGTATGTCGAGGCGCAGCAGGGGGAGGGCAAACTGCCGGTGGGCGTGATGGCGATGGCGGAGTGGGGAGAGGAGGAGAGGCTGTTGGGGTTTGCGAGGGAGATGGAGAGGTATCTTGCTGAGGCGTATGAGGGGGGAAGGCAGAGGCCGAAGGAGTGGGTGGATGTTTTGGGGGTCGCGAAGGGTCAGGTGAAGGTTTAGGCTCGGTTTAGGAGCGATTTGGGCGCGCAGGCGTCCGTGATGGCCTTGCGAAGAAGAGCTTGGGGGTGTGACGGATATGCTAATAAACTGAGAATATTTGTATGTGGCTTGACCCGGATCGACACTGGTCTCTTTGCCTTTGACATGATCACGTCCCGCGTCTGCGCGAAAGTTCTCTGCTTGAGTGGTTCCCCTTGTCTTCAACTATGTTATCTGTGATCAATCCGTCGGCGACGAGGACGCACTAACCGGGTAATTCTGAAGCGGAATGAATCGTTCGAAGGTCGTCGTCAGTCGTCACTCGGGGCCTGCGCCGGCATCGGAGCTCTTTCCGGCCTTCGAACGCTTTCTTTTTCCTTGATCAAGTGTTCCATGGAGGATGTTTGAGTGGATTGAGCTGAAAGATGTTTGGAGACGTCTGCCGGGAGCTCTGGAGCGTATGTAGGTTACATCGTGCTCGATGGCTAGAACAAAGTCAACTGACGACCATCCGGATGACCCGGATGGACGTATGACGATACGAACGCTGATGGCCGGTCGGCAATTACGAGCCAACACCGCGGATGCAGGTGAACAAGAAGCGAGGATACTTACGGTTAAAGTAACCGTCTTGTCAGAGAGCTCTCGGTGGAGAAGACCTGCCGCTGTGCTCCGATGCGGACCCGGTGTGGGCGACTGCGGGGGAGTGAGCTTTTTGGCCCACAAATACTCCGTTCTTCCCGCTCCCCTCACCAATTCCCCACCAGTCCGTCCCGTTTCCCGCCCCCATTTTCTTCTCATCTGCCCCGGCCGAGTCCCCGGCGCCAAGCCAGTTAAAACCGTTGCCAAGGTAATACCCGCGGGCCGTATGTACTTATACACAGCTATCACATCATTACACAACCCCTTCGCATCATTCTTCAGCCTACCTTACATAGCTTGTAAAGACCGCAGAGTTCTCCAACTCTCAACTGCAGCCATAGTTACAACTTTTCTTCAATAATGTCGCAGCTCGCGAGCAGGGCTTCCACGGGCCTCGGCCGGGTCGCTGTCAGGTCCAACAATGTCTACCTTCTTCGCGGCAGCCGGTCTGCTCGGCCATACTCCAGCAATGCCAAAGGCAGCTTCAAGGGGCAGTTGACCGAGAGTGTCACGCAGCGCCTGGAGCGTGAGCAGGCTGAGCGCATTCGCATGGCCGCCTACCGAGACTCACGTGCCGGCTGGAACAACTTTTCCCTTACTGGCCGTATGAAGTCCTCGTCAACGCTGCTTTAATGCTCCATCCAGTATGCTAGAGGTCCAGGCTAACAAATGCGGCAGTCCTCATCTTCACGGCCGGTCTCGGCTGGCTCGTGGGCACCCAGTATCCCAGGGGCGAGATCTCCCCCGATTCCACCCTCCCCCTCGCCAAGACCACTCCCCCAAGACACGACACCGGCAAGGCCAACCTCGAGGCTGCCTGGGCCGACTTTGTCAAGATTGTCGGCCAAGAGAACGTCAGCACTGCCGACTACGACCTTGAGGAGCACTCTAACTCGGACTGGTCTTCCCACCAGTCTGATGCCTCCACTAGGCCCTTCTGCATCGTCTACCCCTCCTCCACCGAGGAGGTGTCCGAGATCATGAAGGTGTGCCATTCCCGCACCATCCCTGTCGTTGGCTACAGCGGCGGCACTTCACTCGAGGGCCACTTCACCCCGACCCGCGGCGGTATCTGCGTCGACTTCCGCCGCATGAACAAGGTTCTGGCTCTGCACAAGGAGGACCTCGACGTGGTTGTCCAGCCCGCCGTCGGCTGGCAGGATCTAAACGAGGACCTGGCCAAGGATAACCTCTTCTTCCCTCCCGACCCGGGCCCGGGCGCCCAGATTGGCGGCATGATCGGCACCGGCTGCAGCGGCACCAACGCCTACCGCTACGGCACCATGCGCGAGTGGGTCTTGTCCCTGACCGTTGTCCTTGCCGACGGCACCGTCATCAAGACCCGCCAGCGCCCCCGCAAGTCGTCCGCCGGCTACGACTTGACCAAGCTCTTCATCGGGTCCGAGGGCACCCTCGGTCTCGTCACCGAAGCCACCCTTAAGCTCACCGTCAAGCCCGCCTCCGAGTCCGTCGCCGTTGCCAGCTTCAAATCCATCCGCGAGGCCGCCTCTTGCGTCGCCTCCGTCGTCGCCAATGGTGTTCCCGTCGCCGCTGTCGAGATCCTGGACGATGACCAGATGCGCATCATCAACCAGGCCGGCGTCACCACCCGCCGTTGGAAGGAGGCCCCCACCATCTTCTTCAAGTTCAGCGGGACCCCCAGCGGCGTCAAGGAGCAGGTCGCCATCGTGCAGGGTCTCTCCAAGCAGACGGGCGGCCAGTCGTTCGAGTTTGCCAGGAATAACGACGAGCAGGCCGAGCTCTGGAGCGCGCGCAAGGAGGCTCTGTGGAGCACCTTCAGCATCAAGAAGCCCGGTGACCACCTTTGGACTGGCGATGTCGCCGTTCCCATGAGCAGGCTCCCTGACATTATCGATCTGACCAAAGACGACCTCAAGAAGAGTGGACTTAAGAGCTCCATTGTCGGCCACGTCGGCGATGGCAACTTCCACATCCTTCTCCTTTACAGCGACGCCGAGAGAAAGCTGGCAGAGGACTGCGTCCACCGCATGGTGAAGCGTGCTGTGGAAATGGAGGGTACTGTTACTGGTGAGCACGGTGTCGGTCTTGTCAAGCGTGATTATCTCCCCCACGAGTTGGGTGAGAGCACCGTTGACACTATGAGAAAGGTAAGCTTAACATCTCCCACTCACTACTCACCATAAACTAGTCTCCATCAAACCAAGTCAGCCAAGAGTGAAGTGCTAACGCCCCCCTTTTCCACGGCCAGATTAAGCAGGCACTGGACCCCAAGTGCATTCTCAACTGCGACAAGGTCGTTCGCATGCAGAAACCTGCGCCTGGCGAGATTCAGGAGTGGTAAGACTTTAGGATACATTGGCTTGACTGTGGCAAGTGTAAAAAAGTGTGATATTGACGAAAAGGTGGCTTGTGAGTTGAACGTCCTCACCTGTATGGTTTAAACCAGTTTCCTGTTTATACCCTGATTTTCGTATTCCTCCCTTCTCCTAGAACTTTGTATTGTTCATTTAGTACCTACTCCTAAATGAATACTACACTTCACGTACCTATAACACGTACCTACTAAGCCTCACTAAACGCAAACATTGGGGAGTTTTCCAAATTCCGTGACTGTAAATAGTCGTATTTTTCATTTCATCATCTCTTCATATTTCCTCACTGGATCATTTCCGTACGCCTTAGCTCCCTCGCTCATATACCACACTCAACCCTGTTTATTACCTCAAGAGACACATGCCAAAGTCGCTCGCTCACTTGTTCAAATACTTGTCAGCAATGCTCAAGAGACCGCCCAGCCCGCTCGAACTCTCCTGCGTCTGCGTGTGCGATGACGTTTGCTGGGAACCGGAGCCCTGGCTCTTGAGGTACATTTTGAGCGCCATCTCGCCCGCCTTCATCACCACACTCTGCTTGTCTGTGCTATCCGACACTTTACCGGCCGACGCCTGCTGGTCGAACAGCTTGGAGGCCTGCGACATGGCCAGGCCAATGAATGCGCTCTGCGACTGTGACTGCGATGACGAGAAGGAGCCGCTGGTGAACAGCTTGAGCGCCTGCAGGGCCGCGGCGCTGCCCATGCCGCTTGACGTCGCCTCGGGCGTCTCGGAGCTGGGGGAGAAGGCGGAGGAGGAGTAGAAGGTTTTGTGGGCGCGGACTGCTTCTGTTTTTTTTGAAGGATACGTGGTTAGTAATGAGACGCATGGTGGAAAAATCTGGGGATGGATTCTTGGATCTGGGGGAAAACAGGGCGGGTGTGCGCGCGCAGGAGGCAGGACTGGACAAAACATGTACTAACCATCCTCATCGATATCCTCCTGGGCAACCTGCTGCTTCTTGGAGCTGAGGCTGTTCAAGATGCTAGAGAAGAAGCTCTCGTCCTCCTCGGCGTGGTTGGCCGCGTGGTTGGCCGCGCCACGGAAGTCATCGTCCTGTTCGTAGGCATAGCCGCCGCCAGCAGGATAGGCGCCGCCGTGTGCGACTATGTGAAGAAGCATGCGTGAGTTAGAAAAGCGCGTGATTCCGATTATGTGGAAATGAAACATTCTGGGTAGAGGTAATAGGTATGACATGGTACATTACGTACAGTCACCGCCGCCAGACGGGAATTGTCCGCCAGAGTACTGCTGTTGCTGTTGGTGTCCGCCTGTTGACAAAGAAAAGCGCAAGTTAGCATCATGTCGTCGCGCCGCAGGTCAGGTTCCCAAGGAGGAGGACCAGGACGAGCGGTCAACGAAGCTCTCCAGGAGAGCTGAACTGAGAACTTACCCTGGCTCTGCTGCTTCTTGGCGTCATCATCATCGTCACCAATGACCTTGTCGACGACCTTGCCGATGAATCTATCCATTGTGTCTGTATTCCGGGTGTTGGTCGGTCGGTTGATGCAGAAGTGTGTGGTGTATGGTGTGTGTGCCTGACAGGAAAATGCAAGACCAGATGTACGAGTAGGTAGGTAGGTTGGGAAAAGGTGGAGAAGAGCTACAGAAGTAAGGGGACCTGCTTCTCTGGCTGTAAGAGGGCTAGTGTACCTCAGGTATGTAACAGCTTGCATCGAAGCAAGCGGCAAGGTAAGGTATCAACGCAAGATGAGATCAACCATGTCAACCCAACTGGGCTGTTGAGCGGCTCCAGGCTGTACATTCAGCATGTAACATTTCCCGTCATGCCTCTTGTCGCTCTCCTGATCTCCCCCTCACACAACACCAGCCCGAAAGGCTAGCTAGATAGCTCGGTTCTTATCCGGTCATCTCCTTTCCCTTGGATTTTTACCCCTCGGGCTTTGGGTCGCCGTAGTAATCAAAAGGTATTTATCTGACTTGACGGGAACTCTAACACAACCTTGGGCATGACGTTTCTGCGGGGTAGCAAGCGTGGGCGGTACCCCTTATCGCTCCTATCGATAGGAGGAGAGTCGTTCGTCGTAAGCTGGTGGGCGGTCCGGTACGCTGCGGATGCCCCTGGTTCGGCGAGTCTGGGCGCTGGGCCGCTGGAGGAAAGCTGGACCCGTCTGAAACCGGCCCCCTCCTTCGAAGTTGCCCTCCAGCGATTACAGTAGAAATCCCTGCTAGTGCAGCCCCTCCTTTCTGCAAATCCGGCCTCACTTGCAAGTGCAAGGAAAAGTTCGTGCCGAACCTGAATTACCGATTTTCATAGACTGGAACCGGAAACTGCGATGAGTTAGCAAACTGAAGTATGTGAGCCGGATATGCAGTTACAAGGTCCTTCGTTTTGTTAGAAGAGAACATGTGCACCTCGCGATCACAGCGTGGACAGTAGCTTCAAAGTTCCTAGCGTAGAGCTACCTCTAGGTACCTTAGGTACTGCAAGATCCCCTCCAAGTGCAAGAAAAATGAATGCCCGGACCAAATACTTGCAGTACCAGGGGTCTCTACACTACTGTGACCTAGAGGTATCGAGGGACCAACCATCCCATGGATCCCATCCCCATCCCGATCTTTTTGATGACTCTGACACAAGTCAAGCCACCGTGATACGGGTGACGTTGGAACGGTATCCCTTGTAGAACACCAACGGGCATCAATCCGTTGAATCAAGCTCCATTTGGCGCTTTGCATCCCTTCGCACGGGAGCAGGAAAGAGAAGATGAGTGCCAGAGTACCCAGCCGCAGGGTTCGATAAAGTCTGGGTAAAGGCGTTCTGTGTGTGGATCTCGGACGTATTGATCCTCGTTGGATTTCTTGCCCGCTCTCTGCCCGTCTCTTCCGTCTGCACACTCAGGTCTTTCGCTTTACCATCGTGATGTGTTCAGTTTCTGATAAACCCTGCTCTCCCTTGACGGTCAGCTTAATGATGGGAAGTGGAGATTCTTCCTAGGATCATGATCTTTCTCGTGATCCCCAGTGTCCCTGTTGACGAGATCCCATCGTCTGCCCATCTGACGAATCTCTTCCTCCAGATCAGTCAGACGTCAAATGCAGCGTAGCCGCCAAGGGCCCAAAAGAACCCAGTAGTACCAGTAGGCCGAGTTGCTGAACAACAGCGCTCGAAAGGCCGGCGCGATCATTCACCATCACTGCAACATTATACCGTTGGCATTGCCATTAGCAGTCCTTGTGATAACCAAAAAGCCTAGTACCAGCAGGTGGCGGTAGCTCATCATCGATCAAATGCATACGTTGACATAGTGGTAGAGTAGCCCCTTTCTTTCGTGTGCGCCCTTCCTTCCGTTCATCGCTTGATGAACACACCCGCCAGCAAGGGCGACGCGGCGTAACAAACTCCTCTCCATACCCTCGCCAAACCAAACCGGTTTCCAGTCATATGTCCATCGCATAAAGAAAGATGTGTATCGTAACGATGCCGGGGTTGCGTTTCCTGCCATCTCATCCTACCGTGCACCGCAGCACTACCGGCTCTCCAAGGCACGTTCTCGGAACGGTCCACAAAGCTAAGCTGCACATGTCAAGACCACTCTACGAACCAGGCAGCACGGAATCGATGCAGTTCTGTTTCTATGGTCCATCCCTTCCCCATGCACTCGCGCCCTTTTCCATGTCTAGGTAGTCCCTCTTCATCAACCCAAAGCAAGGAATGTTAGATCAGTGTCTACTCCCACTTCGTGGCTGCGTTTCCTTTTTCTATAAACTAGTCATTGTTCTTCTTCTCAATCTGTATATAGGCCAATGCGCCGAGCTTGTGCTGCGGATCTTGATAAACGTCGAAATGGTGTTGAGGGCGGTCGAATTCTGTTGCCTAAATATAGCTGCTGGAATCCGTTGTTCATTGCGCATCTTTATCTTCTATCCCATATGATCGCCCATGGGTGTATGGATGTCGTTGTGACCGCCTATACCTCCGCCGTTATTGTTATTGTTGGCGTTCTTCTTTTTCTCTTTCTTTGCCCAGCGAAGACCGCAGGCATTACATAGTGTCTTGGGTCCACTAGGGCCTTTTCGCCATTCGGGGGAATCGAGCGTACCTGTTTCAGCATCCTTGTCAGCAACTGGTAGTCATGAAGAAGCTATTATGGGAGCGGGTTATATAATATGGAGAAGGGGTAATTACCGCAGTCGGTGCACACGTATTCCTCTGCAACCTTGATCTTCTTCTTCTTCTCTCCCGTCCGGGGATCTCGGTCTAGGGGAATCGCGATTCCCGCATCACCCTTAATGAGCGTCGGGCTGGCATTACCCGTTGTGATACCATGACTTCTTTCACCCTCCTGGTACTTGAGCCCTGTAAGCATTTCAATCGTGTCTGCGTGGTTGCCCTCGTAACGCAACATCTTTTCGCGTATAGAATCCGGCCGGCTTCCGGCAATGCCTTCCAGGTTCTCCCGCGTCAGCGCAATGTTGAGCGACGACGCCGGCTGGCTGGGTGGTGGCATCATAACGTCAGCTTGGGCATTCATTGGAATGTAGAAGGGTGTCATTCCCATCTGGGTCGCGGTATCGTCGGACGGCGTAACATCAGATCGTCCCTCCTGGCTCATTCGCCATGTCCTCTGCGATTCTTCCTGCTCCTCCTGCTCCTCTCTGCGCAGCTCGGCAATCCTGCGCTTCAGTCTCTCGTTCTCAATCTTGTGTTCCAGAAAGGAATCCAACAGACCCGCGTTCTTGGTCGGGTAGGGTCGAGCCATCATGAAAACGGCCTGGCAGAAAGGCGATTGGTTCTGTGGATTGGGTGCAAACTTGGCGGCGGCGATGTGCGCATGACCAACAGTCTCGAAAATGGTCCAGTTTCCATCCTTTTTCCGGAACCGGTAGAACAGTCGCAATTGGGATCCCGTCGCAATGGCTTCGTTCAACTCCGCGGTGAAGACCCCGACGTCATCCGGGTGGATCAGGTCTCTGAGGAACAAGTCAATGATTTCGGGCGGCTTATAGCCGGTCAGGGGCTCTACGCTGGGCGAAACATGCTTGATCCGTCCGTTGGCATCCAGAATGTGTTCCCAGTCCTGGAGCTCTTCGACAACCTTGGCGGGCCAATTGCGGCGCTTGGTGAATTCGGTCAGGGTGCTTCCGCCGCCCGACGAAGGGCCCCCCGAAGGTCCGGAGGTGGTGGTGGTAGGCGTGGCGATCATCGGTCCGGCGCTGGACATGCTGGTCGCAATAAGGTCGTCGGGGGAAAATAGCTGGTCGGGTGCCCCGTGACCGCCGCACACCCCAACATGACTGGGCCCTGCATTACCTGCAGGGAGGGGTGGCGGGACCGAGACCGGGGTGAAGGGGTTTGACATGGAATCGCCAACATCGAGACTCATCGACATTCCGTCAAACCCAGGAAACACTGAAGTATCCAGAAGCGACATCATGTCCTGTGGGTCGGAAGTCATCTGCAGCTTGAAAGCCAATCAATCGGCCAATCGTTAGCTTGCTCACCATTTTCGTCCAGCAAAGAGAAACATTTTTTTTTCTCTTGAAAAAAAAGGAGAGAAAAGAATCTGACGGAAAAGAAAATGCCGCTTGCTGCTGCTTGCTGCTGCTGCGCACCTGCGAGGCTGACATGCCGGTTCCCATGCCAGTTCCCATGCCAGTTCCCATACCGGATCCCATACCGGATCCCATACCGGATCCCATACCGGATCCCATCCCCATAGCACCAAAGCCATACATGCTGGATCCAGGGGGAGGCTGTCCGTGAGACATTGTTCTGGTGGTTGTAGTAGTGCGGATTGTAGTGGTGAGGCGGCGAGATGGCGGCAAGCTGACAAGTGCAGGTGTAGACGGCGGCGGCGCATCGAAGAAAGCCTTCCTTTTCGAGAGGAGGAGGGGGGGTGGGAACTGAAGTATTAACGGCTCCTGTTGTTCAATGTTGCCGCTGCTGCTCGTGCTGCTGCTGCTTCCTGGTGCTTCCTGCCTTTTCGGCGGTGGAGGAGCTTAAGAAGGAGCCCGCTTTGAATGGGCTACTAACAGCAACACAAGCGCGCGATTCGTTGACTTTCGTCAGGTCAGTCCCCCATGCGATATTGCTGTGTAATAATTTTCTGCATCTGACTGCCGCTGTTTTCGAAAGATGGAGTACGGGGCGATATTCCAATCACGTTCCTTTCGATGGGCGGCGTTGTTCTGTGGCTTTGTGTGGTCGGTGCTTTTGCTGGATTGAATTCAGGACTATTTCAGGCCGAAATGCAGCAGAGAGTAAAGGTGAAGTGCTGCGAAATCAAGTCGTCGTCAGTTACGTCTAGAACCCGCGGCGCAACAACGACAAAAGAGGAAGAAGGAAAAGGGTATTGTCGATCAAAGAGAACAAGCCCAGTAAGGACGGGGGCGGGGGGTGGGCGTGTGATGACCTGGGACCTGGAGGAATGCCGCCCTTAACGAGGATGGGATTTCTGGGATGGCAGATGGGAATCTTGAAGGGAGCCGCCAAAAAGTCCCCACTTTC